GTGTCCCCCACACAGGGTATAAGGGTTCACACAGTGCAGGTGGCACCCAGTAGTGTGCGTGACAACCCAGCAGGAAGTGCCCCCTGCATGCGTCCACGTCCGCTATCTTCAGAAGATGCGGGGAGGTGGCGTTACTGAGCGTTCAGGAGCCTTCTGGGGTGATGACGTCTGCCTGTGGTCCTGGTCGTGGGGCTGGGTCTTCAGGGGTGTCCACACAGAACTGTCTGTGCGTGCAACTTGTGGTTGGCCATTGTCTTAGCGTGGCTGTGAACTTGTGTGGCTGTCCCTCAGCGTGGCCAGAAGCCTGTTGGGGGACACTGCCCCTCAGCACAGCTCTGACCATGCAGGTGCCCCGTGGTTTCTGTTGTACCTTTAGGGCCATTGTCACGGTCTAAGCTGTGTCTTGCATACGTGGCATATGGCGAGCAGCCTTCTGCACAGACTCTGAGCTTGTGCTCATGGGTCTTCACATGCGCTTTCTCCTCACCCGCAGGGAGCCGCCCTGGCCTGGGCTGCCGGGAGCTGGTCTTCAGGAACCTCTCCAAGATCCTGCCGGGCTTGTGCAGGGACCTGGTTGACTGGGTGGCGGGCACTCGGGTCAAGGCCGCCCAGCTGCTGACCGTGCTGCTGCTGCACGCCGAGGACCACGCCACGCAGCACCTGGAGCCCCTGCTGCGGGCCCTGCAGCAGGCCTGCACCGACGAGGAGGCCGCCGTGGTCAGCAGTGTGAGTCAACGGAAGCCCCCTGCGCAGGGCATGTCGGGTCCGTCCCTCCCCACACTGGAGCAGTCACTCAGCAGGACTAGTTTGTCACCCCACACCCGGCCTTGGCAGTCACTGACGGGTGGGTAAACAGCATCAGAGTGAGGTCCGAGTGCAGTGTCCATCACCCACCCACAGCTGCTCTTCCGTGAGCCGGCCTTTCTCCTGGAAGTGACGGCGGCTCTCCCACAGGGTCACGTAGGGGGGTCAGGCACGTGCACTTGTCCCCTCCGTGGGGCTGAGGCCCTCCTACAACCTTACCTGCCCAGAGCATGGTGTCTGGCCTGGCTGGCCTTGACCTGGAAGGTCCCTGCTCTGTGGGCCTGTGCTGCATCTGAGCGGGGCGACTGTGGGCAAGGGGGGCCCATGGGGTCAGGGCCTTGCCCTGCAGACCGGGGTGCTGTTCCCTTCTCCCTTTCATGATGGTGGTGCAGGGAGGCACCCCCACCCCCACCCAGCTCACACTAAGCCTCCCCTGACCTCTGCTGTCAGATGCAGGTGATAGGCCTGCTGGGACTCGGCCTTGGAGCAGCACCAGTGGCTGTCCATGTCTATGTCACTGTCTCCAGTGCTGACCCTCTCGTGGACTTCCCGAGAGGTGGCCAGGATGTGTGGGTTGTCCCTAAAGGACACACCAGGAGCTTCAACAGGGACTGTTTGTGGGGGGCAGCGAGGCACGGGGGCTGTGGCAGGACCCTGAGGGCTGCCCTCACCATGCTCACTCTCTGCCCTGCAGTGCACCAAGTCCGCAGAGCTCATCGGAACCTTCGTCAGCCCTGAGGTGTTCCTGAAGCTGATCTTGCCGCCACTGAGCAGGTGCCCCTCTGCGTCCGGCCTGTGCATCCTGGCCGCCGTCCTCAGGGGCTGCCCTAGAGAAGCCCTGCACCCCCACCTGCAGAGCATCGCCACAGAGCTGGCCCACACCCGAGTCTGCCAAGCATCTGAGAACGTAAGAGGGGCCAAGATGGGGTTTCTCCACCTGTTCTTCCTGCTGTGCTGGGCTCACCCGACCAAGCCGCACAGGGGCCACCTGTAAAGCATCCAGGCGTGGTCTGCAGCCGCATTGGCCACACTGCCCAGGCTCCTGGCCCCAGGACATTGACTGCCCCCTGTCCCTACAGAAGCTGTACCTGCACTACCTGCTGCTCTGCGTGCGAGCCCTGCTGGCCGTGGGCCGAGAGGACTGCTCCGTGTGCAGCCTACCGCTCCTGCAGGTGCTGGTGGCCATACTGGCCACGCCTGGCGCTGCAGACCTGGACCAGGAGGTGAGAAGGCTGATTGCTTCCCTGGGGCTTCCCAGTCCCATCCCCTCCGGCTGCTCACCAGGTCTTAGAGCCGGTTTCCCTGACCCCACGTCCCCATCCCCCTGGAGGGCAGGCAGCCCCCAGGGGAGTGCTGTGAAGGCCCCGCTCTCCTCCCCCTTTCTTGGGTCCTGGTCGGACCCCATGTATCTTCTCCCTGGAAACCGTCTTCCTCAGAGTAGCGCAGAGCAGGTTGCTAGGGCTCACTGTCAGCCAGAGCAGCACATGTGCAGGGCTGGGGCTGGGGTGTCAGGAGCAAGCAGAGTCCCCACAGGCCCCTGTCCTTCCGGACTGTTTCTGAGCCCCATCCTCACCAGCTTCCTGGTCTGCTGGGTGGGGCCAGGCTCAGGCCCCAGTGGACACACGGCCCTGAGTACAGGGCTGGGGAGGGCGACAGCCCTCTGCTCCCATCTGCAGCTCCCACAGTACCCTGCTGTGGGGTCCCTGTGCCTCGTGGGTCAGCACCCCCTCCACCCCAGGTACAGGAGGCGGTGAGCGCGCTGGCGGAGGCCGAGGGTGCCCAGGGGCCTCAGGACGTCTACCGGAAGCATGTGGCCGCACTGATGGAGACCATGACGGCTTCGCATGCCGACTGGACGGGACACTCACCAGAGCTCGCGCAGTTCGGCACACTCGTCACGCAAGCAGGTGGGCCATTGCCATTGCCAGCATGGGCTGTCTCTGCCTGCAAGGTCAGGGTGGGAGTGCAGGAGGCAGGCAGCCACCCAGCACTCCTCCATGGCACCCTGTGCTGCAGCAGCCATCCGGACGGTCAGCAGCTGTGCAAGCTGCCCAGGCCATCCCCCCCCCCCACCACGGAGAACCATGTGGCAGCTTCCGCTCCTTGGT